CTCAAAGACGCCAAATCACACCTCAGCGTGTAGAGCTACATGTTTGCTCAGTTTACTGATCTGTGTACCAGGCCTGCCAAATGTTTTGTATGATGGAAACCAATTAAAGTGATAAATCTGACCGTTAACACGAAGGGGAAGTACAGGATCAAATATCCCGGACAGCTGTGGAATATGTGATCAGCTGGAGTTACAGGTTTCCTAAAGGCCTTTGTGGAGCACTCAGACATCACACCGAGGGCAGGCAGGCCGACCGTCTAAGTGGTTTCTTTGTAAAACAGCAGCAGCAGGAGTCGCACTTCATCACCATGCTCCATTTGCCACAATGACATGCATCATTTGCTCTCCCTGCAAGGCTAGACACAAAGTTCTTCCACCGTCTGGACCAAAATCAAGCCCTCGCAACCTCCACCCCCTCTCCACAAACGAGTATGCACAAATACCCCAGGCCGTCTAATTCAAAAACCTCACCTAGTAAGTAAAACCCTACTCGAGGCCGCACTCTTATGTTAATCCTAATCACCGTAGCCTGAAAGTCTTCGAAATGAGCAGCACTGGAAGAAACCACAGGATATACAGCCTAAACAAACAGATGGAACCACCTCATCGAGCAAAAATCCGTGAATAAACAGACTAAACTATGAGGACACTAACGGAGAGACCTCCAAGAACTCCATTTCTTAGCGCTGATTAATATAAGTCCTTGATAGCTCACATACTGGCTTTCTTTTCTCTGCAATCGCATTGGCTGTGCATTTATTTAAGCTTCAGAAAAGCAGTCAAAACAAGGTGGAAGATACAACTTGTTCCCAACCTCTGCAATACAACATTCCCAGCAGATATGAGCATACGTCAGGGATTTTTAAGTGACAGGTTGAAACTGTCCTATTTCACTTTCCTAACCACTCTGAAAATGCAATGTTTCTCCTCGCTCTGACACTTCAGTATTTTACTTTATATCTCTTTCTATGTATTTTTTAACTCATTTTTATCAGATTAATCTGGTTCTTACATTAAACAGCGCTTTTAGCTGAACACAGATTCGGTCTTTTTTATGGACACTTTGAAATACACATAATTGACATTTATTATTTTGTAAATTTAAGAAGCTGATGAAGTTTTCATGAATCACTTGAAAAATTACAATACAGTCGACACTAACTTCCTGTTAATGGATGATAAATTGTCGTACGTTTTTCTGTATTATCGAGCCACTTTAAGTTAGCGTGAAACACACGCATCAATCCACATTCTTCACATGCCGTCACTCAAAACTCTTGCTCAACATTAACAATAGAAAAACTTTAAACACAGAATATAAACATAAGCGTTTTTTCTGAGTAAATCTGACACCTGGAAAATTGTTCAGACTCCTGCCGGTGTTAAAGGGAAGAAGGAATCAGGGGGAATTATGGCACAGTGTGCCTCTGGCTCTCTCTTGAGACCCACCCCAGGAAACACATGCCGTAAAGCAGATCCACACCTGGCAATGGCTACTGTGCTATTCAGCCTGTTTACAACTTCCACATGTGTGGCTAATGTCAGGCACATCCATCTGACAGCGGGAAAATGCATTCAGTGTTAGGACTGCATTCTCTCCTGAACTAATCCTGCCTCTTTGAAGTTCTGTAACTCCCCCTCGATGGGGGTGGAAGATCTCGGAGGGAAGCTTCCCCGTGAAAACAGTTTACACGTCAGATTGCATCTTTCACCAGATTTTAATCACAGGTTGGGCCTGACTAAACGGTCTCGAAAGCATCTATTAGAAACACTGACAGCAGGAGTGGCTGTGACACTATGTGAGATGGAAAAAACATGCAGGTAAATGTTTGTCCTCCCTCTGCTTCGCCCCCTCTTTCGAGGTTAAAAATAAAAGCCTTTACACCCATTTACAGTGCCTTGCGGTCCCGCTGTGCAAACAGCCCATTAATTCCAGCTCTGTGATTGTTTCGTACCATGCTCACCCTGCAGGATCGAGCCCCCTCCTCTCTAACCTTAGCTCTGTCAGTGACACCTCTCTCAAATAACTTGTAGATCTCTCTGGTTCACACTGGGAAACACTTCTAATGAGGTGCAAGCAAGCCATGCGTCTTCTTCTGTTTAAAAGCGTAAAAAAAAACTTAAAATCTGTAATGAAATAATTTATATTACACTCAAACTTGCACTTTCACCTGCAAAAACCACCCACGGAGCCTATTCAGCCCCTTATCTGTTGACAGCGCGGAGTTAAGAGATCAGCTGCAGGTATGTTAAAATGGCAACTTGTGTGATCTACCAGCAGGTTTGTGTTGTGACTCGGTAGCATTCACCTCACCTGAGTGACTGCCAAGGAAAACAACATGTGAAAAACCCTACAAGTGTCAGGCTGCCAAGGAAAACACGTAGAGCGTCTTGATCTTCTCAATCAAGTGAGAAATGCTGAGCTTTAAAAAAGAAAGCATGAATCAAATAAAAAATTAAACTATAATGATCAGTTTGTGCCTGTTTATACATGAATGTAATTAAAAAGAGAGCTCGGAAAAATAAATAAATATAAAATTATTAAACTTATTGTAGCCTGACTTAAATAACTTTATAGTTGTTATCCTCAAAGTGATAGGACCTCACCAGTGCCTTTGAACCAGGGCACTGATAAGCTTCCATCTTCCAATCTAACTTAGCAAGTCTATTTACTCAAGTACGTTACTAAATAAGTATTAATAGAAACTTTCTGATTCTACTCCACTATAATTTGTATGCAAAATAATGTGCTTTAAACTCCATAACAATAATTTTAAAGCTTACATTTTTTTGTTATATATTCCAAAATATAATCATATTAATAAATATTAACTATTATAGCTATATAGATTCAGTAATGATGCATGATCTAGTATAATGCATATATTTTTGATTCTGCATAATTCTGCATGTTCTTTTACTGTAAGTACTTTCAGCATATGTTGAACCTACAAGTTTTTTTTACTAATATTTAAGCAGGGTTATGACTTTTTAACTTGTTTCTTCACTTTGCAAAAATGTTATTCACATTCACACTTGTCTACTACATCTGTATGGGGGCACTTGAGCTTGGAAATCCGTGTTTTCTGCACCAGTTTTCTACTTTGTATTTATTTCTCATTAAATATTATAATATAATATGTTTTCCAGCGGGGCCCCACTGCCTTGGTCCCCACTATGCCACTCAATTTACAAAATCATGGAACCGCCCCTGTATCTGTAACTGACTGATTGCATAAATAAATGAACAAACGTGTCTGTATTTCGATTGAGCTGCGCTGCAGAATATTTAAACATTATTTTGAGTGTACGTGTGTGATTTAAAGGCATACCGTTTAGGTGAGATCCGGACCCCGCGTCCTTCCAGCTGACACCACATTGATTATAGTCCTGTCGCTGTTGCTCAACTGGTTTAAAAAATAAACCCCAAATCGCTTTTACACGCTAACCACAAACATGTCTTTCTCCTTTTTTAATAGTCCGTGACATCGCACGAGTGCACCCAAAATCCAATGAGGGGAGAGAAAAAAAAAAGGAAAGGAAAGTAGTTACACACCAGAAAACTCTCCTGTCCCGGGAGCGCTTCCACTCAAGAGAAATACTGTATGCAATAAACCCACAAAACTATTACAAATGTTGACCCGCCTGAAAATGTGGATATTCCATAACTTGTTACTGCTCCAAGGAGCCCCAGAGAAAAAATATGTCAGTTCAAATAAGTGAGCGACGAAGTGGAGCGCTGAAGAAGCGACCCAAACGTTTTAAGAACTCCGAACTCCGCCTGAAACGCGTTCAACAAAGCTAGCATTAACTACAATCAAAACTTCCGGTTAACATTTTCAAAATAAAACATCAATTGAGGAATTTGAATTTCCATCGAACGCTGACGGAAAGACAGGGCTTTTATTTTTTAAAAAGCACGCAGTCTCTTTAGAATGGCCCTGTTATTGGCTTACTGCTAGCTCGACTCAGTTGAGATTACTGAGTTTCTTGGTGGAAGCGCAAAGACTGAGCGAACTCCCCCCCCCTCAGGATCCTTTAGTAGAATATGGATAAGAGTTCTGGAGCATTCAGCGACTAACATCTGTGAAAACAGATGTATTAAACAACCGCTCCTAAACAGACACTTAAAAGAGAAAACAATAATTAGCCCAAAAACAAAGTCACATATCTTTGCTAGCTTGGAATTAACAAGCGTGGCCATGAGATGATCTTAACCGTCACCCCTCCTGTTTTTGATCCCCGCCTCACACTTCGCAGGAAAACAGCCAGTAATGCCAGTAATACGGGCACAGGTCCAAGTTCGGTGAGTTCATTATGGGGCATCAACTGCAATTTATTACAAATCAGCCGTAGCTGCACGGTTGTCGTTAGCAAGTGTGTGAGGCTGCAACATAACCCCGTTTGGCACAATCAAACCTGAAGATGTAACTCTGTGTTTTAATGCCAAATCTAAGTCCGCTCTCAGATTGCTTCCTCTTTGCTTGTGCCAGATTTTTTGGCATGTTTGCAAGACACGTAGAGATGTGAGTGCTTACAGGTTAATTTCGATGTTGGCATGCACATCAAATCCTAGGAAACAGTAAACAGGCCAAAATTACAACAGAAAGATACTGTATACTCTGACAAGATGATTAAGAAAATACTGTGCACTGAGGCTATAATTCATCATGTTCGTGTTTAGATTGTTGGGCCTCCTTATCTGAGGTGGTGATTAGTATGGAGACCCTTGAATTACTCTGGCAAACTAGCCTTGTGTCTAGGAAGGCCATGGCTTCTGTCTGAAAGGTTTAAGGCACCGAAGTGACTTAAACTTGGCTTCAATTTTTCATGGAAAACGTATGAGGTGCAAAAAGGTTATCTATTTTTTGCAGATACGTGACCTCTAACCAGATTTTGGAGGTGTGACATTGTATGGGGAAGGTCTCTGTGCATGACAACATGGACCCATGGACCCACCATGCAAAAATGTGTACTCCCCAACCAGTTTGCGCAGTTGCACTTGCAATAAGGTTTTCACCAACTGACGCTGGTTACAAAGAGGGTACTGCACCGAAAACCTCCTTGTTGTTGATAGCAAACTGATGCAGCTTTGAAGCAGTACATCATCCATTTCCATTTTTTTCAAGTTTTACTGCCATTCAGCTAATAGTTAGCGAGTGTTTGCAGAGAAGATGGTGCGTTCCATGCAAACTTCGGGCGATTGAGACAATGAGGTTTCTGGTGTAATCCACTTCACCTAGTGATGTCCAGAAGCCCTATATATTTTTCCCTTACCAATAGTGGTTGTATCACATCCAAGCAATGTGTGCATGATGTCATATGTTCCAAATTCCTGATAGTCTTAAGGGCTCCATCATTAGTTCCAGGTAATACTAAAGCTGTTTTTGTGAATTATAGTCATTATTAGAAGGGGTGACAATCCATCATATTGTCATTAGCTAATGACCTGTCAATCACAAATGATCAGCCAATGAGCATGCAGTGTACTACTACTACTTTTACAGTCAGTCCATCACTTGCTTTTCAAGTCTTGTTTCAAAACACCAGCATGGGGACTGCTAAATCACTCAGCTTGAGCCTTCATAACAGGAATTCAGTGACGATTGCATGACATCACAATCAAGGCATCACACTTTTTTACACTTTTTTTTCTTAGGTTGAAGTGATTTATGGAGCTGCCTTCCAGCTGCACAACATAGAGACTAAAACCATTCATGCGCACATAGTGGACAAATCCATGTGCCACAACCCATTAAAAACATTGCTGCGTTTCCTGCACGTGCTTCACTTCTTCAGGACATCAAATAAATTGATCAGTTGTGTGTAACTGCTTGCACCTTGTCTATATTTCATGTTTGTTTTCCCTCCTCTTATTACCATGCACGAAAGGAGAAATAATTCTCATTTAAATTTCATCAGCTTATCTTCACGAGGTATTCACCAGCCTTATCTTTGTGAAGGTTGCATCAAAACCCCCCAAAATCTTTCAAATTCTTTTCTCTCGATTTATCCCCACTTGTTTGCACGAATGAAAAAGAACAAGCAGCTAATCTCCATTTATTTGATAAGAAATGTTACACTGGCTGAAAGCAAGTTTTTTTGCAGGATGTTCTTCTGTATGGTTGCAGGTTTTCAACAGTGATACATTTATGTCTAACCGTAAAGTGCATTTGAAAGATACTTGCTTAGAAATAGTGAAAATATTTATTGACGCTACAGGCAAAGTAGCAGGTGTCTGTTTTTTGGAGCGCAACCAAAGGATGTAATATATATTTCAATGTGACGTAGTTTTGGCACACTCTGTATTAATTCGCATATTTCTCATTAAGTGTGTTATTATGTGTTATTTGATGCAGATCGAGTTCGTGTTTTCACATGGTTTCGACTTCCATTCAGTCGTGCAGATATTTGCTGCTTTGATCTTCGCTAATGCTGCAATGCAGGTAGTTTGGATGTACTGTTAAAGCTGGAAAGATGAAAATAAGAGTTGTTGACTGGCCGCTCTGTCCGCTCACTGGTCTTCGGGGGGAAAGTCGGTCAAGGCCCGTAGGAGTCACAATGGAGGTCTATAGAGGACGCCCAGGCTGACAGACAGTTCAGCGGGTCCTCGGCGCAGATAAGTCACCCCTATACAGACCAGACGAGGGTTCATTGCTATTGACCTGCGAGAACAGCGCGTCCACTGAGCCTCCCCACCTTGAATGGCCTTGTTGAAAAGGAGAGCCATAAATTGGCGGATGAGCAGTGAGAGGAATGGGGAGGGGGGTCTACTCTGCCTCCCCTCTTCATCCTACCTCCCACTCTCTCTTGCTCTCTCACATGCTATCTCTTTCTTTCCTTTACCAAGTAGTGGTTTCCATCTCACCAAACCCCTTTCCCCCTGAATGTTTAAAAAGATGAAAGGATAAGGAAAAGAATGGAGACAAAAGAGCGCAGGCTTGTGTTACAACCCTGCCCCTGAGAGACTGCTCATGAAAGAGTTCGGGGATGGGAGAGATAGGGACCTGGAGAGGAGACACAGAAAGAGAAGGGGGGATCGTGAAAAGAGGGTTTTCAGGCCGCTAAAACGGGTCACTCTTGTATAGAGACTAAAGTGCAGTCTTCACTCCGAGTCGGAGACATTTAACACAGGAGCATCAGAAGGAAGGCGGCGTTGATATACGTGTACTCACTGAGTGATTGCACAAGCGCACATGGCTTCACGCGCACGCGCTTTGTTTGTCTTATCCGCATCCAGCGTACAGTAGAAGCAGCGAATCTTCTGAGAATTTTCGGGATCGTCTTTGCCAATCAAACACAAACACTTGCACGCACATACGTACACACTCGCTGGTGTCTCCGTTGCGGCATTCCTACCCTTTGGCATTTACTGTCAGTCGCTCAAAATCCGTTCAACCCTCCCACCATTCTCTCTATCGCCTTCCCTGTCTGAACTTGCCCTGCGTGCACTTAGATATTTCCACCTCAGGGTGCATCAGCGAGAGCTTGAGTGGTTGAGAGAAACGGAGCAAGAGAAAGTTGTTAGCTCGGCGTGGATGGGAATCACCGTCAGAGAAAGGCGATGACTGAAAAGGCAGGGATGCGTTTTTCTCGGGCTTTCGCGTGCATATTTAAGACATGCAAATGTAACTGTGACCGTTTCGCAGCCGAGGAGACCCAGAGGTTTATCTCAGGCATTCATTCACAGAACAAGTTTTGCTTCATACTACCGCTCTAAGACGTCACATTAAAAGCTTTCCTTAATCCTTAAGTCATCAAAACCCTTTAAAGTTAAGCTGCACTATTTAGCAGGCAAATTCAATGCTGTACAGTGGTTTTCTATTTTCAGCGAACGACATTATCACGACTGAAACAGGTTTCCGGTCTTTTATTAAAGCCTTGTAAAAAACAAAAAACAAACAGATTTCTTTTATAGCACAGCGCTGCCTTGTACAGAGTCTCTCCCTTCAGAGGAGCGATTGAATTTGACTCCACACGTGATCCACCTTTTGGATCTTCAACTGGTTCTAATTTTGAAGTTTCCAGATGTCGCTCTTACTCCCATCGGCCCCTGTGATGAATCTTTCCCACAGGCAGCGCCGTCAGGCATCGGCTTGTTGCCTCTGCGCTGGACGTCCTCCTGCGTTTGAAACTCGGATCCGAGCGAAATTGGAAGGTAGCTATTATAGCAATTATTGCAAATAGCTGAGCCGAGCTGTCAGGGCGAGGCTCTGAGTCTGTCTGTCCACAACAGAGCCACCAAGTCAGGCCTCAATTACACATCCTCAGCCTCCCCAAGGTACCTGGTGTCAGTCCTCCGTCATCTCCTCTTGCATCTTCACTCACTTTGAACCTTATTTTAGTGTCTTCACCTGATTTCCTGACATTTTCAATCCTTTTCCGTGTTTCTTCCATCACTCGCCTCACACCCGCCGCATTCCACCTCCTGCTCACCCCTAAAAAAACCCTCTCTAATGAAAACTGCACTGCCATTGCTACCACACACGTACACACTGAGGTATAGCTGCATGTGTTTCTAATTTCAGGCGTAATGCTCCGTTCTCCGCAATCTGACCCAATTAGCCAGAGCCTCCTGGAAATGCCCCAGTCGCCAGACACGGTGGCAAAGAGGTAAAGGTCAAAGGTGAGGTCATTCATGGGGGAGTTCGAATTGATGAATGCATCACTTCTGCCTGCCTGTCTGTCTTCGACATCCCTGTGTGCGCCACTTCAGCTGCTGTCCAGTTTCCCCACGAACATATTTAGCACAGGTGGAGGTTTGAGCGCGAAAAGCAAGCCGAGCCTGAAATTGAATTTCACAGCTTACTAAAGGTCAAAGAGGATGAGTGACAGGGTCTGGAGCCAGACCACACATAAACATGCAAACAGCGCACATGTACACCGAAGCAAAGAATGCACGCACACACACACGCCCATACAGATACACTGCCGCTCTGACAAACAAACAGCACATGCGGCTACAAGTCTTTCCTGCATGAAACTGAAATTAGCGTATGGAATGTTCACCTTCGGGAAAACAGTTTGGGAGGGAGAGGGAATATGAGCATCAAAGCTCCGAAGCCCTCATTAGGAGAACGGGGTTTGGTAATTCAGTTTAATGCCTAATTAGAAACAGGTTCAAATGGGCGCAAAATGCAGACTGGCGCTGTGTTGCATTGCCCAGCAGTCGGCCTCGTTCCACGTCTCTCTCGGTTTGGATTTTTGTGCGATGTGCGATGTAGCTGGGCCGTTGTCAGTTTACAAAACGGCTTCACACACTCTGCACGTCTTGTTTACATCATCTGCATCGCTGTAACCTCTCCCCTTACAGCACCCCTCTCTCTCCCGCGGATCGCCTCTCAGTCACTCCTCCTCGTCTCCTTATCGGTGCCTCCTCAGTGTCCCGTTACAGGACCCAGTCCACCTACAGCGGCTACACTTTCATTCAGTCTGGATCCCCTAGATTAGACATGCAGCCTAAATAGTGAGCGATCTATTTACAGTTACATCCTCCGTGTCGCCGACGCCGGCACAGGCCACATCTTCCTTGGTTTCCCCCCTTCTTTGCCCTCGCCGTTCCCCTCCATCCCCTCACCTCCTCTTCCATGTGCCCTTTTTTTTTTGCCAACGGGGGAAAAATGTTACACATTGTAAACTTTACTCACTGTACAACACCCGTAGGATTGGATTTCAGTGGCAGACTTTGTGTTTGAACTGGTCTGGCAATTAGTAGAGGATAGACTTACGGCTCACCTACTGCACAATGGAAACACCGGCCCAGTTGTACAAGCCCCTGTTCCCATTCTGCCCCTCTCCATCTGTCCTCCTGTGGGACTGTGTGTGAGTGGGTACGTTTGAAATTCTTGTCGGTTGCACAGTTTCATGTGCGCGAGTGTAAATTTGTTGTTGCTGGCACCGGATAAAAAAAATCAAACTCAGTAGATGCCAAGACTTTAAGAATACAGTATACAATGCACTAACATGTGGCTTATAACTGTGATGTTGTTATGAGTAGAAACTAGTGTTTGTTAATGTATAATTTGTGTAATAATCAAAGATATGCCCTTATAAAGGAAAGATAACAAATACTGGAAACCTGCGAGGCAGAAAAATGAAGCCAATGCAATTTGTCTAAAAAGCAATTGAGGTTGACTCCATTAGCGAGAAGTTCTCACAGACGTCCACATTAAGATGTTCAGCTTTGAAGCATTAAAGCATGTTTGATCTCTGGTTATAGTTTCTCTCGTAAGCTATAGATTTATGGATGTGGCTGCTTACCTGCACTAATTCAGTTCCCTAAATCGAACCAGTCAAATGTTTCTTTGGCTTTTAGACATTTGTTAACAGAATTATACTACAAATGCTGTGCAGTGTAGCAGTGTAGCCTGTCTGAGAATCTTGTGCTACACTTGTGGTGAGTGAAATTCTAATATGTTATCAGTCTGTCACTAATTAGCAGATTGCACCTGTGCAGCTCCTGCATGCTGCTTGCTAGCCAAAGCTTTTTAGTGTTAACTGATAACTTTGCACTCCACCCTCTGTTCTGCTCTCTGGGTCGCTTCTCACTAAAACGCTAATGCTGAGGTTTCAAAATACATAGTCGGGAAGCCGTGACGTCACGGTGGTTGCATGCATCGTTTTCGTGCAATTTGTGGAATAAAAACAAATGTTGTGTTTGTTTAGCTTTTGGATAAAGTGACATTGTAATATAAAGCATCTGTACAGTCTTGTTCTTATATTAATATTCTTCTCGCTTAAATTGACACTTAAAGTTCAACTCTAGAGAATATCTTACTGACCTAAATATTTGCCGAGTGTGTTTTTGTGTATCCTTAAGCTAAAATTAGAATGGACTCAGCAACAAGCGACATCTGCTCGGCAGTCCAGATTCCAGATCAGAATTTCTGTTTTTTTTATTTTGGTAGTTTTTTGTTTGTTTGTTTGTTTGT